CAAACAAACAACAACAACAAAAAATAAACCACTAAATGTTTTTACTTACAACCAAACCTAGATATCTACCACAATAAACTGTATTTTTAATCTGCCTGTGCTATGGCCAAACATACACGAAAGTCAAAGCTTTTATTTTCAAACAAATGTGCCCAGCTTAGTGTGATAGAATTTCTAAATTAACACCCAACTTCAAAAATTAAAATTTCAGAGATTTGCTGATTGATTAATCAACTATAGAGCTTTCGACGTAAACAGAGGAATAGTACCCATAAAATTCTCTTTTCTAGATTCTCAGAGTTATCATGAAAAATATAGTGCTTTGTAAACAGCAAAAAGTCTATTTTCATGTTGATTGAGAAAATCTGTTATCATGAAACAATTTATCCATTTTATTCTTTGTGTTATTAGAATTTGAACACGTATGAGAAACTTGGTCAAGTAACCACTAAAATTACTTCCATGCATCAGTATTTTTAAGATACCAAAAAAAATGATATTCTATTACCATGATGAGGCTAGAATTCATTTAAATAACTTTGGGCTTGATTCATGAAAAACAAAAATACTTACTCGGTAGGGGGGCATTATTTCTGCATTTTTTTTTATATGCACAAGTCATGGTCTGCATTCAACTTCCAGTTCAAAAAGAAAAGTTGCAGATTTATGTAGGCAGGTTTTTGTGTGAGTGCACAGTTCTAAAGTGAAAAATAAATAAGCCTGTAGAGAACTTGTGCCTTTTAGCAGAGTGTTAAAAGGATGGCAGGCTGAATTCAAGCCAAAAAAAAAAAAAAAAACCCTCATCTCAATAAATTATTACCAAAATGTTAGCAAGCACTGCGTTGTGACACTCAGACAGCAGGGACATAATGGTGACACAGAAGAAAACTGACACATAAATCACTTTAAAATAGCCCTTTACTCGGTCCAGGGAGAAACTTCCATCCTCAGCTGAATCTCGTCTCCCACCTTTTCATCTCTAGGATAAAATGGCAACTGTCCAAATCACTAAAAATAATTTAAAATAAATCCCTGGCGATGTTGCTACCAAACTTAGGAAAAAATGGTTTATGATTTAGAAAGAAACAAATGCAGAATGTATAAGAAAAGATCTTTTCGAAAGTGTTTTCCTTAAGTCAGAATTGATAGATCACAGGTTTAAACCAAACCAAAGAATTATCTGAATATGGTTTTGTTTTGTTTTGTTTTTACTTAATTTAGCTTTCTTAATTCTTCTTGGGAAAAATATTTTCATAAAGTATAGAAATATAAAGAATGGATTACATAAACAAAATAATTTGACAGTATCAAGGCCATTTCAATAGAGGCAAGATTCATTTAATTAATGAAAAATGTTCTGAGGATTTTTATGCCTATTTGTAACAGCCAATCTGAAGCATTCAGACCATATCTGAAAGTTGTTTTTTAAATAAAAATTCATCCAAATATGTAGCTAACAAAATTACATATCTTTGAATAAAAATGAATGTGTAAATAATGATCATAAAAGTCATTCTAATAGTGAATAAGGTAAATCAACATTATTTATAATCTTTAAATATAAAATAGTCTCTGTTTTTTTGAAGACATACTTGAAAAAATAGAGTAAGCAACAGAAATAGTTAAACAATTTTATTTCAACAAAATATAGTAAAATATGTCTTAACTCTGTTGTTTCTCATGTCTTTAAAGAAATCAGTTTTGTTGCTTATTCTTTCTTAAACTTCCAGGAAATCTTAGATATTTCAAGGTGCAACCAGTGACAATTCTGTATGTTTCATTTTATTTAGTTCCTTTTTAATTTTATCTTGAAAATAAATGGAGAATAAACCTAGACATTCAAGATAATTTTATTAATCCTGCAAAATCTATTGCATAATAACCCAAAGAGCACTCAACACCCCTTGTCAATTTTAAAACACAAGTATTACTGTTACTTGTCTTAAATTTAGCATCCTCTAAGCTGAAGGGGGGAAATCAACGTGCAATTTAGACAGTTACCAAATTACCAAAACCATCGCAGCAACTCTTAATGAGCAAAACCATTAACAATTTTCCGACTGGAGCCCCTGTTCAAATACCTTGGACACCTTGTTAGCACAGAATGAGGTGTTCAATCAAGAGACTGGGAATTGGAAGTACCAGGGCACAGTTCTGAGTGGTGATTACAAGGGCGAGAGGGCGAGTGCCAAAGTAACAGTCTTCTACCCTGCAGGAAGCTGAGGAACCTTCAAGTCTACATTTGTAAATCAGGCCCGATGATTACAGCCGTCACAAGCAAAGAACATATGAAACAATTATTTGCACCATTCTTTCACTGTTTTAATTTGCTCTTAAAATGAACAAGATGATCCCCAGAGTCACTGGCATTTTGTCTTTAGAAATTTAGAGCCTGCTCTAGGATTTTTCAAGCCTGTAAGCCAAGGAAAAGACTAAAGGGATCATTTCAAAGAGCATTCTTTTCTTTCTCACAAGCTATTTTTTATTCAGGTTTGCTGTAACTAAAAACGTATAAAATATTCTGCAGGAGTTTATTTGAGATATTTTAATTGTTGACTTTTTGAAATGTGAAATATGTTTGTCAATTAATAAGTTCGAATTTTTATGCTATTGTTTTTCATTAAAAATGCAGTGACTTAGACCCTGAAACTCTTGCATTAAATTAATAAGGAATAACATGTTTCCTGTTTTGAACTGTCTTAATCCACTCTTTGACCACTGACAGCTAGCAAATAATTTACTTAAAGACTTTTAGGCTATAGTATTTAAACTGCCCTTAACAGTTAATAGTGGCACGATATCAAACCTGTGCTTGAAAGAACATATTTAAGCAAAATGTTATTTTTAAAATAAGCATTATTTATCTTAAATGAAAAGTTGCACCAGAAATACAAAATTATATCTTTCAAACATCAATATTTTGGATTGATTTTACTGCTATCAAGCACATATTTTTAATTAAATTGACTATTTGAATAATTTAAAAATTAGGTGCCATAATCAAATGTGTTTCTAGTTAGAAAAAGAAGATACAAATATACTTATTTAAATTTTTCTCTATGCCACAAAAACTGTTATAATTTTAATTTATAAAATATGTCAGTGTTTTCTCAATTATTTAGTGAGTAATGTAATAATTTTAAAGGGATAGTTTTGTTAATTAATGACAGGAGAGTCTACATATAACCGATTTTATTTATATGTCTTTATAATTTAATGAACAATTTTAATATGACAATCGGAAAAAGACTTTACAGAAAAACACCAATACTTTTATTTCTTTTCATGCAAATATATTAAATATGAGGTCCCAAGAAGGTCTGTATTTTCTTTCATAGTTAGATACTGAAAACTAGAAAGTGTTTTCTTAAAAGCATTTTCTCCACTTCTGAATTTGAAAACATCTTAAGGTCTTGTTTACATAAGCAAGAAAGGAGAGTGATGCAATTTTAACTACTTTAAACTGATTTCTGAAAACTCTATTAAATAATATGACTGAATTTATTTTTGTATATTTTTATATTTTCCCAGAGTGACTTCTATTTTCTCTCAATTATTATTTTTGTCAGTTTGTTTGCTGAAGGGTGCAATATTGAATTTTCAGAATTTGATTTCCCATATTAAATCAATGGTTTAAAATACCATCAGCTCATATGAGAGATTACCATGTAATTTTGTAATGTATTACAATCACATCATTTGTCCCCAAACCCACAGTGATTATTGTTAAATGCTCCTTGCAACCAGTGAAATCTTTTTCATCCTAAGTTATCCAAATGTAGAGGGCGCTGTTGTTCATAGATTTTGAAAGTGTTACATAAAGCAAAACCTACTCAGCTAATAGTTTATTATTTGTTTTTCAAAACTGTCTATAAATTCCAATGGAAGCATTAAGGTATAAAGTCTGAATTTAAATTTAAAGTAGCCAAGGAAGAGCTTCTGCAGTATGCCATTAAAGTTGTATTTTAACATTATGGAAGTAAGTATTTTTAATCATCCCTGAGTTCTAATTAATCTACCATTCGTTTTAAACATTTTGACGACAGGATTTTCAAAGAGAAATAGTTCTGTTTTCTGTCATTGTAGTTATGGGAAAGAATTGCCTTGAGTACAGGAGATACATGCTGAAAATGCAGGGATGTCATTATTTTCAAGTGGCACAGGATAGCAGGGGGAACAAAACAAATATAGCAAAAAAGTGGTTGATTCTCCATGGAGGACATATGTTTTCTGTATTATCTTTCAGGTTTTTTTTATGTTTTTCAAACTAAAATTTGGATGGAAATACTCTGATTTCTTACCTTATTTATAATTTCTATGGTCACCCTTAATGATTTTTTTCTAAGTAGATATATATTTTTTAATATTTCACTGAACATGCTAACCTCTGTATGGTTAATTTTAGCGCAGTTCTAAAATATAAAGTTTATCCTAATATATGACAAAAATCATTTCTTTCATTAATTACTTGTGACTGAGCAAGAAAAATAATTTTTTGAATAACTCATATTTAGTTCTCCACACAAAATGTTACAATTGAGCATATAATAGTGACTTTTATAATTTTCAAATCTTTCCTCAAGTAACATAAAATGATAAAAATTCATTTTTTGGGGTTGTTGTTATTCTATGACATTTGGTTGCTCTAAAGAATTTTAAAACACGGTCAAAAACCATAACAAATTATAGTCAATTTTGTTTTAAACACAAAATTTAGATAAAATAGAGGAATGTCTTAAGAATTTCAATTTTTAAATCTGAAATGCTTTTTGCAGTGTCATATCAAAAATGCTGAATAAATCCTACATAAAACTAAACCCCTCCTTGCCACCAATGGTTAATGCTGAATAAAACTGAGAATTCCAGATTTAAAATGCATTGGCTTAGAAAACTCAAGCCAGACACTCAAAATGGGTTACATTCTAGTATAGTTTTTATTCTTAGTTTTTTACATTTAAATGAGCATTTAAATATTTTCAATTTTTTTTCCTTTAGTGGTATGTGTATATTTAATCCATATAAACATAGATGTTCAATTGAAATACTTGCTGAAATCAGTTAATAAGACAACATTCTCTGTTGTTAAACAAAATCACAACGAGAATCATTTTTTTCTTTACATTATTAAACACCATCAAAGCAGCAACACCAGCTCTTTCTCCTTTTCATTTTAATCTAATCTGCAGAAAGAAAGAGGGAGAGGATGTTAGAGACTGGTCCATGTAAATATGCATTCTATGCAGAACCATGAAACTAAATCACTAGAAAAACACAAATGGAGCTTCAGGAAAAGTTTTGAATGTAGCTCAGGCATAACTTTGCACCACTCTAAGTTATTTTAAAATCAAAATAAGCATGGCAGAAAGCAGAAGAAGAAAAAGCAGTTCACTAAAACGGCTCCTAACTTGCCCTTTTGAATAGGGTATCTGAAACTTTGTCTGGTTAAACTGTATCTAATCTAGCACAAGTAGGCATTGTCTGATTTTTATGGTGTCCATGCATGTTCAAGAAGTTTTCCACCTTAAAAACAAGGACGGGGAGTCGAGGGGGGTAGGCCAATTCATAACTGAGGAACAGTTGCCTTTTATGATTGGCAAGTTCTTTGGGACCAAGATACCCCCCAGCCTGACTGACTAGGACCCTGAGATGCAGTTCCGCCCTGTCTTTATGTCAAATCACTGCCACCAAAACAATGGCTCATATTACATGAAAATCTTGTGCAAATGAGCCATAATGGGAGTGAATGACAATCTCGTAAGACCATGCAGCAGGGTCCTCCTTTGATCTGAAATACTGTTAATCTTTCTCAAACATAGCACACTAAGTATACTTGGCAAACCTTATATGAGAAAGTCCCTATAGCACAGATCCAGGGATAAACAAGCCTTAAGTGAAAAAGACACCAAGAAAAATTTCCAACTTGGTTATAAACTGCCATTTACTTGAGTCATTTTTATTGTTGTTGTTGTTTTGAGTAATGGTTGATTTTGTTTAGTTTTTCACAGAATAATTGAATATCAAGTTTCCTTATTTTTAAATCTTTGTTACCATTATTACTGGGTATGAATTTTAAATAGCTGATGCTAAAAATTATTTTTAAAAAGACTTTTGGGGGTTCTAATAACCGAATGTCTGAAACACCTTATTTACATAGGCTTTTGTCTTTAAACACAGTGAACTCAGTGGAATGGCTTTATGTGATATTGTGCCAAAGTGAGAGACAGAGAGGGAGAGAGAGAAAAACTTTCAAACATTACGTTTCTACCGTAAGAAAGGAATGATTGAGGTGTTTCTACTTCTAAGGTGATTTAAACGATCAACGAAATATCTCACAAGGAGTTAGAGATCAGCTTTTGGGTCACCAAAGGACTTTGCTTTTGCTCTCCAATATTAAAATCATACTGTTTTGTTGGGTAGCCAAATATGTATGGCACATGTAGTCTAATGCAAGCTGAGTCAATCATGGTAATTCAGAGCTGGTAGGAAATATGCCTCTTCAGTTCTGCTCTGCTTTTGAAGTGTTGCCTAAAAATCAGCCTTGGGCTTCAAAGAGAGGGGGATTATAGCCTTTATCCAGCAATTAATATGGCTGGAACTCAGAATGTCAGCGTCTAACCACGATCCTGGCTGGACAGTGGCATAGCAGGAATTCATTCTCCTTCAAGACTTGGAATAAATCACACACACACAAAGAATAAATAAGCAGTAAAATATTACTAATGTTTGGCAGGAAAGAAAGGGGGGGAAATCTAACCTTTCATTTCTAATAACCCACCAGTTTTTTGACATACAGGCAAACCCTCCCAAAAAAGTGATGCTCGCAGAACTCTAAGCAGCCTTATCCACCTAGATCATTTTAATCTCCCACCAACTGTTAAACAGAAAGAAGGGCTATTAGACAGAAACCTATTCCTCTGGCCTTCTAACATAGATCAGGTGACAACCTCTCCAAGTTCCTCCTCTCTGTCAGAGTTCAAGGGTTCAAAAATGGTCAGGATATCAAACAACTGAAAAGCAGCAGGATTTTACAGGAAGTGTTTAAGTGCATTAGATTATGCAGAGTGGTCAGAAGACATTGGCGATAGGTTTCATTTTTCATTCTCAATCTCGTTCCAAGTGCCTTCTAATGAGAGCCCAGAAGAGTGATTCCCTTCAGCTACTGGGTGACGATAGAATCCAAGTACCTAAAATACTATAGATTCCTACTGCTTGTCCTGGTATGTTTGAAGTTGAATATTAAATTGCTTTCATAGCAATTGGTTATTTGGAATGAATGCCAACATCATATATTTACTTTGGTCTGAATGCAAAGAAATGTCATCTCTTCTAAGAGTTGTGAACAAAATTCAGGAGAACCTCATTATTATTGAGTTTGGGGAATTTCTCCTTTAGATTAAGTAGGATCAGCTCAACTTCTACCTACAGACCCCAAGCAGTCCACCCTTTCAAATCCTTCACCCTTTGTTGCTTTGGGTTTCTGTACAGATTTTTCCACTGAATTGAAGGAAAATACGATGCATATGAAGTATTTACAGAAGAATATCACTGCATCCTGACAGGCTAAGGAATGCATCTCATTAATAAGCAATGTTTATTGCTCAGTACAGAGGTTTTTGTGTGGAAGATACTTGAAGAATGATCACTATAAAATCTAATATTAACAAAAAATTTAATATGTAATAGCCTCTTGGTTATCATATACATATTTACCCCTGAGTCCCACACTAAATACAGAAACAAGATCACAAAGGCATTGGCTTTCTATATTCTTTATGTATTCATTTCCTCTTTTTATATCACCTTACATTTGGCACTCACACTGAAGAGTCTGATGGTCTATATTACATTCACAGAAAGTTGGAAGGACGAAAAAAGAATGGTTGAGGATTAAATGCATCATAGAAGGCAAAGGGATACCCACAATCCTGTCTATTGAAACTTGGGGTGAGATGTATACCAAGTTGAGGAGAATCATCTTCTCCTTTCCTTTTTGGCAGCTTACTTGTTAAAGTAGTGTGAATTCCAGATCCTGGTTCAAAACTCAGGAAGCCTGCCAAGGCTCATTTGCCATAAAACAGCCAAAACCATAGGGTTAGAAGAAGTAGGTCCAAGAAAGGATTCAGGAGACAGGGAAACAAAATTCTTCCACCATTAAAACAGAAATAGGAGTCAGGTACGGTGGCGCATGCCTGCAATCCCAGCAGATTGGAAGGAGGAGGCAGGAGGATTGCCAGTTCAAAGCCAGCTTCAGCAAAAGCAAGGAGCTAAGCAACTCACTAACACCCTATCTCTAAATAAAATACAAAATAAGGCTGGGGATGTGGCTTAGTGGTCGAGTGCCCCTGAGTTCAATTACCCCTAGCAAAAAAAAAAAAAAAAAGAAGAACAGGGAAGAAAACCTGTTTTGTAGATTTTACCTGAACTTCCTAATAATATATCATTCTCTGAGATACACATCATTATCCACCACGCCTGGAGCTTGAGGGTGTCAACTTACACAAAGCTACCATGGAATATACCTTCCATGTGTTTAGTTAGCAACAGGCCCAGTTCTTAGGTCCAAACTCTGTAAAACCAGTTTCTAAAGATGCATAACCTATTTACAGTTTGTTACTAGATCCACCCACAATCCCTAGCCTCTCCCACCCCAGATATAAAGACCTATAGATCCATAGATTCATTATAGATTTATTAAGATGAATTGATGCATTTTTATACAAATCCACATAGTCATTAACTAGAATCTATTTATTTGCACTATTTTCTCAAAACATCTCATCAGTTTTGTTTTTCATTTTTATATAAAGTCATCATTTTCTATGATAACATGCACTAAAATATTATTTTTTAACAAAAAAAAAAGCAACAACAAGAACATGTGGTTACTATTTCCTTTAAAGCTAAATTTTCTGTAGAGTTCTCAACACTTCCTACTAACTCTCATTATTACTAACACTAACTCTTATCATTATTATCAGCTAAACTGATTTATAAATCTTCTCACCAGGTACTTTAATTTTTTATGTAATTTTTTGGAGTAATATATTTCCATGGCCTTAACAACCCAATAAAAATAAAAACAGGAGGCACAGTCGTGCACACCTGTAATCCCAGCAGCATGGGAGGCTGAGACAGGAGGATCGAAAGCTCAAGGTCAGCCTTAGCAACTTATGGAGGCTCTAAGGAACTTAGCAAGACACTGTCTCAAAAATGGAAAATAAAAAGGCCTGGGGATGTGGCTCATTAGTTGAGCATTTCCATGTGTTCTTTCCTTGTGTCTTTCTGTCTATACAAGAACAGTAACTCCTACCCAGAGCCCCTCCAACAACATCTGTCTCCTGGTCCATCCCTCAATTTTTTTTTTCCTTTGCCTTGGAGCTCATTGTCACCAGAATGCTCTTTTCTCACTCACCCACTGATGCACTCTGTGCACAAGATCCACCGGCTCCTCCTTTAACAACAGAGGAGGTGTTCTGGCCTGGGAGGAGCTCTGTGGTGAGCCCTTGCCCAGAGGAAGCAGTGTGTCTCCTGGTGAGGTCCCACCCTCCCGTGCCCTTCAGGCCTTCTCTTCCACACTTTCTTATTCTTCCCCTTTTCCACCTGCATCTCTACTCTGCTCCTCAAGGTTCTGGAGCTGGCTATTGAAATTGAAATATGTTTAATTAAGTAAATTTTAAAATTCATGCCAGTTGCACGAGCCACATTTCACATGCCCAGTAGTCCTGTGCTAGTGGCTTTAGAACTGGACAGCTAGATCAGAAGCATTTGTCTCATTGTAGAAAGCTCTCTTGGACAGTGTCCAAGAGCACAGAAAATAGAGAATGCTCCAAGTCCATTACTCACTAAATGTGACCTTGGCCCATTGTTTCTCTATTGTGCTTCAGTTTCTTTATCTAGAAAAGTGAGAAAAAGAATGGCATCAGTTTCATAGGCTATTGCATAGGAAGAGCATATATTATGTAAATTGGCATGAAAAAAATTGACTATTACATGTATTATGTAAATTGGCATAAAATGAATATATAGGTATAGGCATGGGTATAGAAGTAGGTATAGTAGAGAGAAGATTATTTTAAAACAATTCATTTTATCTTTGCCATAATAAAAATTTCAATCCTCCTTAGGCTACTTTTTACAAATTTTACCTTGGATAAGCCTAATTTGTTGAATTTACATCCCCAGGTCCTCTTCAGTATTTACCCACATTTATAAGTTAAAGAAATCCATGTGTATAAATTTCACATATACTTTTAAAATATGATATTATTATATAATGACTGTAAATTCAAAGACCATAAGTTTGTTTTTTGAGCACCAAGCAAAGACACTGGGCACCCAACAAGTAAATTTTGTTGATTGGATTGAATTTAGTTACAGACATTTGATTGACTTGCTTTTGTGTAAGAATCCTACATTCAACTACATCAAACTACATCCTCATCTCCATGTTCAAATACCATGCTTCCTTTTCTATCTTCTGCTCTAGAGTTGGTTAACATGTGCATTTCATTGTCTCTTAAATGTTCCAATCTCTATTATCCCATCTGAATTCCTTTGGACCCTTTTCCAGTTTTTAAAGATTGTTGTTAAATAATCTTACAGTCAGAAAATTATACTTTCCTATCACTAGTAATCAAGAAAATTATGTTCATAGACTATTATCTGAAATAAAATAATTCAAAAAGGAAGAAACAAAGAATAGTAAACAATAATATAACAAATACTCTTTGTTCTGTGTAACGAAAAAAGCATTTCTCTACTAGATGCCAGCACTAAGATATTTTAAATTCATATTTTTAAAAGTTGTTAGTTTCTTTAGTTTCATGGGGCAGCACATGCCTGTAATCCTAGTGACTCAGGAGGCTGAGGCAGGAAGATCACAAGTCCAAGGCCAGCTTGGGTGACTTAGACTCTGGCTCAAAATAACAAATAAAAAGGGCTGGGGTGTAGTTCAGTGGTGGAGTTTCCCTAGGTTCAATCCCCAGCATTCCCCAGTCCCCTGCAAAAAGTTGTTTTATCAGTGAACATATTACTCAGTAAAAAAATACTAATTATTAAGTTTCTCAGATAAGAAGTGCTTCTTCATCAATTTAACTATGTTCAGAAGTAAAGGCATCATGATTCTCCCAAGTCACTCTCTAAGTTCAAGGTATTTTTAAAATATACTATGGGTACTTATTATCTTTAGATTAAATAATATTTTCCTTTGAGCAAATCTATTTTGCAGAGAAAAAGTAAATTCATACAAAAGATAAAACGAGATATGAGTATTCATTTAAGAGATATTTGTTTTTTTCAATTTTATTTGTGATCGATATGTGTCCATTGTACATGTTAATGGGATTCAGGGTTCCGTGTAACATAGCAAAACAGGCACAGAACACACACTTATCAACTCCAGCCTCCTTGAATCTGCCAGCCTCCCTCAACCTCTAGTAATTACTAATCTACGTTCAGTTTGACTTTTTTTTTTTTAAGCTCACACATGTGACAGAGAGCATGCAATACCTGTCTTTCTGTGTGCGGTTTATGTTGCTTAACATAATGTCCTTCAGTGTCATCTACTTTGTTGCAAATTATAGGATTTCATTCCTTCTTATGGCTGAGTAATGTTACACTATACATATAGACCATATTTTCTTTATCCATTCATCCATGAGGAGCATCTAGGTTGATTCCATAGCTTAGCTATCATGAATAGAAATGCAATAAATATGAACATGCAGGTATCTCTTTGGTACACTGATTTCGTTTTCTTTGGAACACAGGTGGAAGTGTGAAGTGTGGTAACTTGATCTGGTTTTAGGTTTTTGAATCAGGCCCCTCCTGTTCTCCAGACTGACAGTACTAATTGACATTCCCACCCACTGTGCATGAGAGTTCCTTTTTCTCCATATTGTTCTTTTTGT